TAATGTGTTTCTATGTATTTTTTTGTGCTTGGCAGAGATAGAGTAGTGTATTGTTGTGCAGTGGATAAAAAAGATTTTCAACATTTTACAGACATCCCAATGCTGGTATGTACAGCCCATTTGTGTCAATATGTTTAAGAAACACCCTACCCTGCTTTTGAAAAATAAGGCTTTTGGGGTATGTTTCCATCAGCTTTGAATAAACAAATACTGGTATTTTTGCCAATTTGAATATGAAAAACCACCAGGTGTAGCCAGGTGGATAGAGAACATCTGTGATTTTTTTCAAGTATTGGTACAGATCCTCTGTTAGCTTGAGGAATGGGACTTTGACAGGGTAATTATAAATGCAAACATAAATATGCTCTTATTTGGACTATTCGACTGAAGCTCTTGTCGATGTTAAGGGTCCTGACGGCATTACAGTAGCTATCTCTCAATTAACTCTGACCCCTTTACCTATACCTGGTAAAGTTAAACATCCCCACAGGATGATGCTGCCACCACCATAGCAATAGTCTACGGAGGATAACTGACACTCTAGTTTTTACATTGCATAATATTTTTCACATAGACCAGAAGGATCAATCTCTTTTACATGTTTATTGTGTCCCCCTATATGATTTGTGGCAAACATGTAACCTGACAAATATGTATCTAGATTAGATGAAGAAATTGAAAGAAACATAACTGTACAAATTCAAAAACCCACAATGGAAAGTATTGCATTGCATTTCAATATCGTCAAAATGGGCAAGTATGCCATAATATACTTTGCATACATATTATATTTTTTAATATATAATTTTTTTTTTTTTTTTTCATAAAAACCAGCACATAATATTAATAATTTGATCAAATCTGCACCAACCGTGTTTGACGTGATCATCTTTGTAATCAAATTATCCGTCTTGGACTGATATGAATACATACTCTGATTTAAAATAGACCTATAATTTGTGATCAGCCTACCTTTTCTGCTATTCTCCGTCCACCAATGAAGGGCGGCCATAACCTCTGCACCTCCAGGAGGATTCTTTGAAGGTGATCAGGGTCATGGAGGGCTTCTCGTCGGGAATCCCTCTGATCCAAAGGGGAATCATGAGGCATAACTAATGTTATTACAACTGGCTAGAGCGTATTATATACATAACTTCACAATTTGGAGTATTACCTATCACATTCCTACCTATCACATATTCCTACACTGCCAAGATCCAGAAGGTTTATTATTTAATACAACTCTAGCAGCTAACATCTTTTCCCATCAGTCTTGATTGGATGTGCACAGCTTTACAAGATATCCTTGCATTTCTAATTCCAAACCAGTACCTGAATGTGTTTACCTGCTCAGGTCCTCCAAGAGCCAGAGTGAAGGAGGTGAGCAGCGATGCAAGAGCTTTGGGAATTAGTGCTGAGATGAACAGGAGGAGATGTTGGGCAGCGGAACCAGAATTGGGAAACGGTAAAGAAGCCAGGGAGCCGACAAACCTGATGTCATGATGAAGTCACAATAAGATACAGATTTTATGTTCAATTAAGTCTAAAAAAATCATTTGAGAGAACAGAGGCCTCAAGTATCCTTCACTTTTTCCCATTTGAGATTCTGTTTGCATAAAACAAACTGATCAAACAAAAATGCTCCAAATGTTAAATGTCAAAAATGTCTGAACGGAAAAGCAGAAGTAAAAAAGAAAAAAAAAACACATTCAAGATGAAGAAAGAGTTAAGAAAAGCAGAAGAGGCATTTGCCCTCTCTTTCTCCAACCACGATGCATTCATGTAACCTCAGCCGCCTCACCCCTGCTTATCATTTTCTAATTTGTCTTTGATGATTTCCATCAGTTTGCTCCTGGCGTCCAGAGCCTTGGCAAAACCAGACGTCCACAGAGGAACCTTCACTTTTACTGGAGCTGAGATCAAACCTGGCAGCAAAATGACAGTCAGTGTCAAAAACGTACAGTAAGGAAATTCAAAAAGAATAAGTGAGCATGTATGGCAATGCTGTGCTGCAAATGTGTTCTTAAGAATAATCTTTTGGGGGATCCTATGATGTTAGATGCCTGATCTTTTGTTTTCTTTTGAGTTTTTATTTTTTTTTATTCTTAAGGCCTTTTTTTTTTTTTAATTAGGGGTGCACCTATTGTTTTATGGCCAATCACTGATTATCAATCCATAAAAAACCTGCGAATGCAGAGAAGGGTGGTTCTAAAAGAAACTGATACTAATGGGATGTATATAACTGCATAGGGCTCTGACCAATATTGGTTTGTTTTTATGACTTATACTGTCAGTTGTTGTAACTGCTTCCCCCACTTCTCCCCCACCAACAATATGGAGGCCATCATGGTACAAAATGGCTTCCACAACGTCCGCATCAACCATCTTGTTACGTGGTTTATTTACATAGATCATACTATAAATAGTATTCTATAGGGTTGGGCAATTGATTGCATTTGCAATATAATCGCAATTTCCCAAAATGAAATTTTTAAATCACATTGGAGCTGAATCTGGGTCACATTACATTTAACAAGAGAAATACACAAAATGTGTCGCTGCAGCTCATTAGGTGCATTAATACACTTAAAGTGGGTTTGCTGCAACACAGAAAGGTAGAGAGAGTTGCAGCTGGCATGCAGATCCATGCACGCGAGTAGAAGTAAGCACTTTTTCACACAAGGGTAATAGTACTGTCTTGCAAAAGGCAAGCTTTAAGGACCCAAATAACGAAACTCATTTAAAAAACACCTACAATTTATTGTTACTTCAAATTAAAATCGAAATACCATTGCAATTGCAATATTAGTCAAAAATAATCGCAATTTAGATTTTTGGCCAAATCATTCAGCTCTAGTTTTGTATTAGTCTGTGTAGGATATAGATTGTATATAAGCCTAACTCGCCATGGTCTCATTTGAGTGTAATGGCGATCTCACAGTCAGTAGTTTGTCTGCTCTGTGCTGCCGTAGCACAAAAGATGCCTGCCTCCATAAATGCCAGAGCTGCTCCTTATAAATAGCAGTCTCTAAGGTAATGCAAACATAAAGATTGAGATTTTCAGTTCGTAGATGATAATAAAATACTAATATATAAAATATTTAATTTCTGTAATATGTTATATATTACAGAAATATAATATATGTGTAGTAACTACAATCCCTGTAATTACTACACACTGTACTGTAGCTTTAAGTTAAACAATCAAACAAGAACATAGGAGCTATTTTAAAAAGCTAGGGAATCATTAGCAAAGGTATTCTGAAGGTCTATTTTTCTTTATTTCAAAGATATCAAAATGCCTTTTTAAAAGTCTCAATATTAGTAAACGGTCCTCAAACTGTTCTCTTATGCATTTTTCAGCTGAAGCGATAATGTATTTTTCAATAGAGTTAGGAGAAAAAAAACCATAAAACTGATGTCAATAACAGATCATATTGCTTTTAACTGTGCAGCCCTACCATGCCAGTGTTCTGTGCAGAGCTGCATGATTTCCTGGAAAACTTCAGGCTGCTCCTCGACTCGTACGTTTAGGAAAAGACCCAACACCAACTCCGTCCCCAGTCGCTTAAAGACGGAGTAAATACACTGTGGCTGCCCACTAAACACATACACAGACATGCAGTTAGGCTAAACTGATAACTTTTGTATTTCTATAAAAACAATAAAAAGTGGATGCATATTGCATTAGCTTGCACATCAATTACTCTGAAATATATTTTCACATTAAGCTATAAAAGAGCATGTGAGAAAAGGCAGGATTGACAGAAAGTCAAAGTGCCAGTTCTAAATAAAGCACAGAAGCAACAAATGTTAATAATACAGGTGAAAAACAATACAGTTAATGAGGGCACACAGGTATTACATAACCTGATGGAGAGGTCCTTTAAGGAACGTTCACAAACACTGTAGGGAAAGAAAAGTATATTTTCAAAGTCCTATAGAACAAACTTGTTTTAATCTGACATATTTTAATGTATGATAATTATATTTAAGGCGGAACCATTGAAGAACACCACTGTTGTTACCTGGAGATGTAGTCCGCTGAGGATTTCAAACTAGTTCCTGAAAACAGGCTGTTGAGAGACAGACGGAGGAGGCAAGCCTCCTCACCTGAAGCACAACAGAATATTTACAAAGATATGAATTACATTAACACGGAAATGTTTATCTGCATGCCTACCGTTAGTGGTGACCACAGTGTCTCCATAAATGTTTGTCATTAAATCCGTGGGGTCCTTTAGAAATATGGTGGATTTCTCTGAAACAAACCACACAAACATACATAATTATAATTATAATTCATACTAGTCAGGAGTTTAATATCAAGACCTAAGTTTAGAAATGTGCTGAAAGTGAACCTATCCTAGCAAGACTTAAAAAGCAAGCCATGCTTCTGCAGTTTTTTTTTCTATTTCTGTCATAATGTTTNGCAAGCCATGCTTCTGCAGTTTTTTTTTCTATTTCTGTCATAATGTTTTTAAATAAGCCATGCAAGGTCAGAGATTAAAGGTATAGAGGAGGATGCTCTTTTTCTGGAAAGTAAGCTTGTATGAGCGATGCAAACAGCAACTTTTAAACAGAGCATGCATGAGGAGAAATGTACAACAGAGTATTAGGGCCAGGCTAGAGATTTCTTTATTTTTTTTATGTTGAGGATAAAGTTGTAACATTACGAGAATAAAGTTGTGATAGTACAAGAATGAAGTCATCATACAGCAACCCGTCTAAGCAAGAAAACTTTGAGCTCCGACCGACAGGCCAACCAGCACCATCAAACAGTACCCTGAGTCCATTTTGACATGCTGCCCAATTTGATGCTCTTGTGCTCAAAGATTTTCTTATTAGTCAAACCGATACCTTCACATAATGCTCGACATTGCTCATTTAAGGGAAGCAAGTGCTTCTTGTAAGAGTTGTCATAAAATACAACTTGTATCTTGTAATTTTAGGACTTAATTCTCTTAATATTACGACTTTATTCTTGTAATATTATGACTTTATTCTCAGATTTTTACGACTTTATTCACGTCATTTTACGACTTTATTCTCGTGATTTTACGACTTTATTCTCGTAATTTTACGACTTTATTCTCGTAAAGTTACAACTTTATTCTTGTAACTTTACAACTTTATTCTCATAATGTCATTTATTCTGGTAACTTTACGACTTCATTCTCGAAATTTTATGACTATTCTCGTTGTGACTTTTTCTTGTAATATTACAACTTTATTGTAATTTTATGAATATATTCTCATAATTTTATGACTTTATTCTCCTAATTTTAAGACTTTATTCTCGTAATTGTATTACTATTCTCGCTGTGACTTTTTTCTGTTATATCACTACTTTATTTTAATAATGTTACCACTTTATTCTGATAATATTATGACTTTATTCTCGTAATTTTATGAATATATTCTCAAGATTTTACGACTTTATTCTCGCAATATTATGACTTTTTTATTGTAATTTTACAACTTTATTCTCGTAATTTTACGAGTTTATACTTGTAATTCCGACTTTATTCTCGTAATGATACAACTTTATTCTCGAAATAGAAGAAAAAAAAAATCTCTAGCCTGGCCCTAATACTCCGTTGTAGAAATGGGCTCATGCATGCTCTTACACGCGTTTAATAGGCGTTCCTTCTCGGAAGTGGGTGCAGAGTTGTGTATGTGCATTTTTTATTTTTTTTTTAGTGAAGAGGGCAGGTCTTTTCAAAAATTTGCGAAAATCCTCCCCTATACCTTTTAAGTGCTGATTTTGCTTTCTGTTTTCTGAAATTTAGCATAGTTTGACTTCATCAATTTGAACCTGTTGCCATATTTCCTCCTAAGAAAACTGAAATGTTTTCAATGATCAAAAACCATCCTACTCCAGGGTGGTTTACTTCAAATTGTCTAGAACATTAACTTAAAAGCATTTCAAGACAGATACCCCAGAATGAAAAAGTGCAAAAACCTTAGTTTAAAAAAAAGTTGAAATGTCAATGTTGTCTTTTTTTTATTATTTGGCATTCAACAGAAATCATTTCAGAAAAAAAAAATAAAATCCTTATCACAATTTTCCCATTGTGGCACAAGAAAGGGATTTTCTATTCTATTCTTGTCATTACCTAATGGGTAAAACCGTTGAACTAAAGGACAGTGTACTTTCTGTTTACGGTTTATCTCCCTTCTAATTTTACATTTCGATGCACAGATTTTAAGTCTATCTAACTAACATGCTAAACAAAATGCAGCCAGGAGAGCCTGCAGAGATCCACAGCTCAGGGAAGAATTTGTTCACAGAACAACTATTAGTCGGGAACTAAACAAATGTTGTCTTTATGGAACAGTGGCATGAAGAAAGCCTTTGTTTAAAGAAAACTATCGGAATTCAAATTTGCAGTTTGCCAGAGACAGCAAACATGTGGAGGAAGCAGCTTTGGCCAGAGACCAAAGTTGAAAAATTTGGCCAAAATGCAAAACACTATGTGGCAGAGAACTAACACTGCACATCATTTTAACACACTATCCCCACAGTGGTGGCAGTGTCATGCTCTGGGGCTGCTTCTCTTCAGTAGGGACAGGGAAGATGGTCAGAGTTGATGAGGAGATGGAGCCAAACACAGGGCACACTTGGAAGGAAACCTGTTGGGGTCTGCTAATATCATGACTGATAAAGAGGTTCACCTTCCAAGAACTGGCAGAACATTTCCATCACTAGATTAAAAATAATAAAAATAATAGTAATAATAATAAAAATAATAGTAATAATAATAATAATAATAATAATAATAATAATAATAATAATAATATATATATTTTTTTTTCACTTAAATATCCTATAAAATATCAATATTTGAGGTTAACAATGTGACAAAGTGTGGAAAACTTTAAAGAGCATGATGCGTTTTTTAACGACAACAAATGAGAAAACAGCAGTCTGCCTAAAAGCTGTAATGTCCACAGAGAAACACCTGACTGTGAACGTACCACAGAGCAGCTCTCGCATCCCCTCCACAGAGCAGATAAACACAGTCGGTCTGTTCAGCAAGCGGCAGAGGAACACACGGCTGTGGTATTTTTCAATCAGCTGCTGACAAAAGATCACCGGGTCCCGGTAGAAGTCCAAGGACTTGTCCCCGAGCAGCGAGGCACCTGCATTTCCTGGTAGTTTAGACATCCAGGACCGAAATGAATCCGCCTTTATCAAGTTTGAACGCAATTTCAATCAAAAAGTTTCTTGTTGATCAGACATCAACAGGCAGTGAAACTACGTTACTCGCAGCTGTTAATATTTTTGGGTTTATATTCCCCTTAGCTGTACAGAATCGATTTATATTTACTGATTTTTCGAGAGGTAACGTAAAGTACACTCAGTCGCTCTAATGAGTGTGGTGCGTTCAATGCTGCTCGGAAAATGCATAGTCATTTACTGGAAGAAACTAAATTAAATTCGTCCCTAAGATATTACAAACCACAAATTGATACAGTAAATATTACATAATGCTTTTGATAATTGCAATTGATTTATGCTTTTTATTCAGTATTTGTACTCTGCTTATGTTTTTCTTGATTAATATTACATCCAAACGTTCATGATTGTTTTTTTTTATAAACATTATTTTATGAACCAGTTTTTAACTTTAAATTCAGTTTAATTCGGTGCTTTCTATCAACGTTAAAGGAAAATATGACACCTCTGATTTGTTACAACAGATAGAGGATTGATTGGCATAATTAGCATTCATGTTTATTCACTGGAATATAAAAATATTTTTTAAATATATGAATATGTTTGATGATTCATAATGTTCACTAGTACAATTCATCGTTCTTTATTGCACATTATTTTCTTTTTGGTTCAGTTTTCAATCAGTGTTATTGTACAAAAACCTTGTTCTTTTGGCAAATCTGCACCTCATCAAACAGAATTGAGCTTCCATGCTTTGGCCTACAAAAACAGCTAAAACTTTGAGTGCAGTGTTGTCACAGTTCTGTTCTTATATGGGATTTAAAGTAAAA